GAGAGTAATCGCGTGCGCCCCCATACTGCTCCTCCCGCCGTAAGGCGTTTAGAGCAGACGGTGTAGGCCCTGAGGCATCAGACACCCTCTCTAGGACCGGTCGCCAATAGGCTTCCAAATCTTCGAGAGAGTGCCGGACGCTCCTGTGCACTCCATCGATCACCTCGGCTGCTGCTCGACTGCGACACTTCTGGAATAGTTCCTGTACCCTGGCGTACTCTATTCTCCTCCTCTTGCGGCTCGACAAACCGGCCAGTGCGGTGTCGGCCCGAGTCACGTTCGGTATGCGGTGCCGCCTCGCACTACGGGAACCCAGGCCGTGTCGCGACCTCCTCACCGCGGCCCTCGCTAGAAGATCCGCGACAATTTGGTCTGCACACGTGTTATCTGGGGCACCACCTAAGTGCGGTGATGGATCATCGGCGACAGGCGGTGCGTCTTCAGCTGGCAGAGGCTGGACCGGCATCTCGACACTTTCAGATTCCGGCCGTGTCGAACCCCTGTTCTCTGGCGCTTGGCTGCTTATTGGTGGGGATCTGTACTCTTCCCGGCACGCTTGTACCAGGATCTTATACTCCCCACAGCGCCTCTTTCCTTTGATTGCCTCTAGGGTCCGCTCGGACCCCGACAGGCTTTTGTACAGGTCTGCGTTCGTACATCGTCCGGTCTCCTCCAGTAATCGCGCCTCTGTACGCGCCATCAATGCCAGCTCCTCATCGCGCCACCTGCGCTTCACCATATTTGGAGCGGCCTCCGCATTTGCTACTTCGGGGTGGGCCCTACGCTTGTGGACCCCCAACCCCGTTTTGGTGGTGAACGCACGTCCACACACCGGACAAGTCCAGTCAATGACCGCGGAAACTGTGGCCGGAGCCCCAGCTTGAGCGGCCGAAGATTGGGCCAAGCTCCCCGGCTCCTGTGGGAGGCCAGGGTGGCAAAATAAATCATTTTCATTCCTTACTTTGTCCATTGCTTGTGTTTGTGCCCAATGTGGCCGGGGTGCAAGCCCAGCCACCTGGTTCGCCTACCGCATCTCGTATTGTCCCGACCGAAGTCAGCGGTTCGACTTGGCGACATATTGCCACCCGATGGGACTATTCAGGAATCTCACCCGAACCTAGCCCGGATTACGCCCCATGATCTAGGACGCTGCGCATACTAGACGAATCTAGCAAACCCGGTTCACAAGCCTGACTAAAGTCTCCCGTCCGACTGCCAACAACACGACTGAAAGACGCGAAGAGACAGCCGAACGGGAGACTATAGTGGAAACGCGCTGGGCCTCGCAGAATTAGGAATGTGCCAACGAGGCGGTCACCCCCGCAACAGCCATCTCCGGGGCATACTAATTTAGGCACGTCCCCCCCTCCCGTGTCAGTTATAAGCGGCGGTGCCACGTGCAGGCCTCGGGTAGGAGTTGAGTCTGCGTGTCTGGAAAGGGTCACCCAGGCACACAAACCCCATTTACTAACTCAACAGAGATCGTGTATTGAAGTGGCTGAAAAATGGCTGGCGGTTTCCCAACCACCACACTTTGCTCCGTTGAGAGAGGAGCACACACTATCTCCTCCCGTTAGGGCCGGGACGCGAGCAGGCGACCCCGCTGCGCCCCGTTAAGAGGCTATCAGGACCTCAGCGATCGGTATTATCGTTTAACGCGCGCACCACGGCGCCAAGGATCCACCTCGGAGAGTCATAGTTACTCCCGCCGTTTACCCGCGCTTGCTTGAATTTCTTCACGTTGACATTCAGAGCACTGGGCAGAAATCACATTGCGTCAACACCCGCGAGGGCCATCGCAATGCTTTGTTTTAATTAGACAGTCGGATTCCCCTTGTCCGTGCCAGTTCTGAGCTGACCGTTGAACGGCGGTCGTACAGGCGCGCGCCGATCGCGCACGAAACGAAACCGACGCGACCTTACGGCTAGGAAGATCCGCGGAAGGCCGGAACGCGGGTCCGGATTCAGCCCGCACGCCCCGAGAGACGCACGAGCATCGACCAGGCCCGGCACCGGCCGCATCCGCTTCCCGTCCAAACCCGACACGCCCCGGTCCTCAGAGCCAATCCTTATTCCGAAGTTACGGATCCAATTTGCCGACTTCCCTTACCTACATTATTCTATCGACTAGAGGCTCTTCACCTTGGAGACCTGCTGCGGATATGGGTACGAACCGGCGCGACATCTCCACGTACATCCCTCACCTGAATTTTCAAGGTCCGCAGAGAGTATCCGGACACCGCCGCAAATGCGGTGCTCTTCGCGTTCCGAACCATATCTCCCTTCTATAGGATTCCATGGAACTCGAACGCTCAGGCAGAAAAGAAAACTCTTCCCGGACCCCTCGGCGGCGTCTTCAGGCCACTTTGGGTTACCCCGTCGAACACTCGCTTTGAAACGAGGGAACGATTATTGAAACGGTTCCGCTGCCGGGTTCCGGAATAGGAACCGGATTCCCTTTCGCTCAAAGGGCGTTATTTATCATCTAAAATTATTAAAA